TCAAAGTGAGAAAAATTCGAGAGGGAGAACAGAAGAGTGAATCACAGATGTAAAAGAGGCAGGCATGCACAAAGTGAGAGAAAGGTAAGATGAATATTGTGGAAGGGGTCGAATATTACATATACTAGGTTTTGAAGTGAGAAGTCAACTGCCAGTTTATAGACTTTTTGTCGTAAGAGTATACGTTGCCCAGCGTGCATCACGTGAAGGTAAGTCTCTCGAGCACCCCTTATAGTAGATATAAAACTAAGACCAAACCGGTAGGTACTATTATTGAAAATTACACGAGCAATAAATGTTTGAACTAAGATTCGGCCGAATTGCGAAATTTGTGGGGCATTCTGAGGTATCATTAATTATTAGACGACTTCCTTGGTTTAGTTCGACGCAAAAAAATGAAATGTCTTTTATATTAGTTTTAAAGCAAATTTATTTGTAGTGGTTCCTTTTCATCCAATTGTAACTATATTAGTATTGCCTACTAAACTTTCGGCCTCGTAAAAAATTGGTAAATTTTCACCAGCTTAAATTAACTTTACCAAAAAAGTGAAGTTGTCGATAAGATAGGTAGAAAAAATCATTACTACTTTAGATTTTCTGGCGTATGTCATTGAATATTCACCTACTTGACGGTTCATTTTTTCTTGTTTCAAAGTTCATATTTTATGATCGGTCTCATTTGTTGCATATGAAATTTAAAGAACTTATCAATCTTAAGTTATTTCGATTTCATCTAAATTGGCTTGGAAAGGGATGCCTTTGAATGATTTAGGCTCAAAATTATAAAACGATAAATTCTAAGAATTCGATTAATTTTCAATTGTTTGGATTTGTTCAAAACACATCTTAACCAAAATTAACTTACAATTTTCTTGTATTTCCTAAATTAATCGAGGTATTCCATTATGTAAGGAGCTATAGCGGTTTCACTATTATATTTAAAATTCCTTTTAAATCATTACACCCACGAAAAAATGTTAAAGCATAGGTTTATTCACTATAGTGTAAATTCACCAGAAACCTAAGGGAGTGTACTTTAAAATCCCACTTATCTTTCTTGCACGCTATCTCCAACACAATAATTATATTAATTGTTATTTATAAATTGTAATGGAATATTTAAAAGATGATGCGATAATTTTGTTGACCTAACAAATAATGAATATTGGTAAATTATTTCTTAGGATTAAATATATTTATTTGGTGTCGGATAATATTAGTTTAATATTTAACCAATCACAACACGGGGTTTGTATTTAGCCTCTGAGGGGATATTGTAAGATGGATGAAAATGAGAAAAAGGCTCGAGAATATTTAGCTGATGCGGCCAAACAACCGAAAGGAGGTTTCTTTCACTCCCTTTTTTCTGGGTTCGTATAGTATTTATCGGGTTTTATCTTTTGCATGTACATTTCCTTCTCTAAATTTATTTCTGCTTAATTTTGAATTTTTTTACATGAGACTATATATTTATAACTATATGCTGAAAATAATTGACTGAAATAACTTATGGGTTCTATTGCTTCACTAGTTTTATTTAAGTCTTTTCTTGACTTTTAACCACGAAGTCCTTATCTTCTTAATAGTCTTTCATTTCTTTTGGGACTAAATCTTTCTTCCAGGGGCTCCGATAGGACAGAAGAAAGAGTTCATCTTTATGAGCGAGCTGCGAATTGCTTTAAAATGGCCCATAAATGGCAGGATGCTGGTGATGCTTTTATGAAAGCTGCTGAATTAAGCGCCAATAGCAAATCACATTTGGATGCTGCTACAAACTGTGTTGATGCTTCCACAGCTTATCGTAAAATTGACCCTGATCGAGCAATCGCATGTCTGACTCGTGCTGCAGAAATTTATATTGAGATGGGTCGATTTACAATAGCCGCTAAGCACCACATGACTATTGCTGAAATCTATGAGAAAGACTTGTCAAATGAAGCTGAGGCATGCAAACATTATGAACAAGCTGCTGACTTTTACAAAGGCGAAGAATCAAATAGCTCAGCACGAAAATGCCTGCTCAAAGTTGCCGAGATTTGCGCTACTTCGGATCAGTTTGAAAAAGCTGCAAGGATATTCGAAGATGTATGCCTTATTTTTCTGTCCTCTGTTTAATCACCATATTGATTAACTTTTTATAGTGGCGATGTCTTAATCTTTTAGGCTGGCGTTAGTTCTATGGATAATAAACTCTTGCGTTATGGAGCGAAAGAATATCTGATGAAGGCTGTTATCTGTGATATGAATTATGATCCAATTAAGGGGCGCAATCTTTTGGAGAAATTCGCTCAAGAATACCCCATGTTTTCCGATTCACGTGAGTGTGGACTTCTGAAGGTAATTCCCTTTTTCCTTTGCCTTTAAGTTTTGAATCTACTGAAATGATATAAATAGACGTAATCTTACGTTTTAGGAAATTAGTAAAGCACTGAGTTCAGACAACCCTGATGATTTCACGGCTGCTGTGAAGGCGTATGACAGCATAACGCGATTGGAGCCATGGATGACTACTATGTTATATAAGCTTAAAAAGTCCCTCACCGACGATGAAGACATAAACTAGATGCGTCAATTTAGCATATGTTATGTTCCCTTTCTTCCATTCCTTTGGGTTTATGTTGTACGGGTGTCTGTTGTGAAAATTGAAACAATCTGCTTTCCAATGATATTGACTCAAATGGTATTTCTTTCCCTGTCTTTTTTTTAACTATATTTCTCCTGCTCTCCCCCTCTTGTACTTTTCACTCATTAAACTTTCAAGATGTACCACTTTACATCTGACAAGGATTATTTATTATATAAAAAGAATTGTGCTTATATTAATCGCTTGAGCCTTATGATTTCTTTGGGATCTCCAAACGAAAAATCTTTTTGGAAATCGGAATAGCCATAAGCGTGTAAGGAACTCAGAAGTAGGTGATGTGACGATTTAATAAGGGCGTCGAAGGTGTAACCTCGCCAAGTAGGCATATTGTGACTACTCATGAGATTTCAATTGTGAGTTAAGTCATACTCTCTTAATTTACTGAATTCCTAACGTTCTCACTGGAGGTGTAATTAACGTAATAGCTAGATGTGTTCTTGTTTAAAATATCACTTGTTAGTCCATTTATTGGTTTAAGAGTTTTGTCATACCACTCTGAATCTGCCTACATTCAATAGCAGAAGCAATTTAAGGGTTCCAGGAGGATTGACTGTTGCGCATTTTAGAGGACCTAAAATCGGAATAAAAATTCAGATCTATGGTGCATCTACTATGATAATGTTAGGCTCAGAAAATGGAAAAAAAACGCACTGGATGTTGGTGTCTTTCAATCTGCAATAATCAGTGATCACATCTTAGGGAAGCATATTTCCAACGGTGGAGTGCGCGATAGACTTACCTCCACGTGGTGCACCCTGGGCAACGTATACTCATTTGGCAGAAAAGTTTAAAAATCGGTAGTTGACTTCTCACTTCAAATTACCATGATCCTACTGTATATCATAAACGAACACTTCCGCGGTTCTAACCTTACCTTATCTTTTTCTCAACTCTTCTGTTCCCCCCCCCCCCCCCCCCACCTCGACATTTTTTGAATTTGTCTGTTTCTCCCCTCTGTGAAGCCCGAAGTGAACTAAAGGATCAATGATAACTATCATAAAGCCTGCCATTTGCTGCAAATATTCTCAACGGTTGGGCTAGGCAAGTAGAGTACATCCGAAGAAGGAGGAAGTGTATCATAGTTTGGTCAAAATGGACAGACTCTGGGGGATCGGAATATCATATTACCTGAAAAAAACATTCATCACTGCAGAGCGGTTGACAGGTGATGTCTTCACTACTATTCATCCTTTTAGAGATTTTAATATTAGTATTTTCTTCGACAAAGCAAAATAACCTTTATTAAATTTAGCAATGAGAAGGCATATTATGTCAAAAACTAAACATTTTTAAATCAGTACAATAAGGGGCGAAAAAGGAATTAGTTAAGTGGTGGCAGGTGATGAATTTTGGATGCATTAAACAACGCATTTTCTCATTCAATGCAAATATTGTTCTCCTAATGATTTAACCCGGTTTCGATACATCCAGATCATAGTTTAGTTACTTAAGTGGTCGTCCATCTGACCGTAATTCACTTGTAACCTTTTACAGCCATGAGTATGCATGTGAAATTACGATATTGCTTAGAGATTCCCTATGAATTTCCTTTTTGTTTGAAATGGGTATTTGAAGAACTAGTTCATATATAAGTTGATGTTTAAACGTTAACGAAGGTGTGACTACCACGGTAGTATAAATAACAACTTATTATTCGGGCTCCTAACATAATTCATAATTATTATTCATTTTCCAGAAATAATTATTATAATACTCGACAAAAAATCTTTTGATTTTATTGAGCTATCTTGAAACACGACACGAAGGCATTTAATATACAGATGTCAGGCATTAGAGGGGTAAGGTCAAAGACAATAAACATGAGTAATTGTGCAATTTTTAGTCATGTTTTAACACTTTACACCTCTAACAAATCATTTTCTCATACATTTACATCCAAATGCTTACATCATCACTGAGTTCCACATTCCTTCAATTTACCAGTTTCAAATCATATGTAGTCAATCATATAAACAAAACTGATTTAGGAGAGAGCATATTCTAAAGCCCACTTTTTTCGGTATTTCAAAGTTCAATATTAGTCACCTCTCTAGCCGAACTTGATCAACTGTGTTCGTTTCAAAGTCTACTTTTTCATACCCTGTTGTTATGTTAGAACCTGAAATCCCGATCAACAATGCCAACGGAGAAAACTCAGAGCTCCTAATAGGAACTACTGTTGTATAAATAAGGTTTCCCGCGGACAGTACCTTGGGGGCTCGCATATACCCTGTAGAATTCATAGAGAACCTGAAGAACCGCTAGCCTAGTCTCATATTATGTTGTTAGAGCTCTAAGAATTTCATCCGCTTGGTTTAATCATAGTTAGCTTATAAATAACGGTGAATGTGTGGATGGAGATGTAGTTGCAATTTGAAAGCTGAATTTTATTGATTACGAATGGGTTCATTCAACATGGGGCATGAAAATGCTGAGGGTGCCGAAGCTAAGATGACGGTTTTTTTTCCACTGTTGGTAGATTGAATTAGAAAAAAAGTATTTCACTTGGTTTTAAGGATTTACTCAGGTTACGCCCTATTAGAATTCGAAAAATCGATAACAGAGAAGTTATAATGAGAAATCGATTAAATGAACAAATCACTTTTTGTTTGTACTAAAATGATAAATTATTTATTCATTTCAAATGGCACGCGTTCTGATAGTTATCGTTAGCCCTTTAGCTGACTTTGGACTTCACTGAGGGGAGGAACATCATAGCGAAATAAATTTCGTGAGGGGGGAAAGAAAAGTGACTCACAGATGTAAAGAGATAGATGGACACAAATGCAGAAAAAAGGTACGATGAGTACTGTTGAAGTGGTCGAATTTAATATACAATGGGGTCATGGTAATTTGAAGTCAGAAGTCAATTGCCAAATAATAGACTTTTTTGCCGTATGAGTATACGTTACCCAAGGTGCACTACGTGGAGGTAAGTCTATTATTAAATACAATGCGTTAGCTAATTGCTACATTACAAATTCGGACTAGAGACAACTTGCTCTGCTAAATCAGAATGCCAAGAATTGTGAATAGATTAAATAACTGAGTAAATGGGAGGGAGAGAGAGAGACAAATGCTAATTAGAAGGAGATGGGAAAAGAGAACGCCAAAAAGATTGTTCGGACAGAAAGTTTTCATTGGGGAAATTTTGTTGAGTTACAGTGAAGTAGAGGAAAGGAGCATCAATAGTCTAGTGTCGTGCAGTGAGTACAGCCCAGTAAGCATAGACATTCGAAAATGTCTTATAAAGGCTTGGATTAGCGTGTGGTTTGACAATAACTATGTGAAGCATTTAATTAGTTATAATAAATTGCTGACATTATCCAAAGTCGAATCATGGAAAATGACTTATTGGTCAATTCATGGAGCTGTTAAGGAATGTATTAGCGTATACAGTAGTGAGAATTTTAATATAGTTTGTCGACAAAATTCTAAGAGTACTTTCTTTATTTTTTTCCAAAACACGCCTAATCTTGAAAGTTTGAATCAAATTCTTAAAAATATAAACAAAACTCAAGTGGAATTATAACAATAACGTATATTTCCTAAAAAGCATAGACTTAAATTTTATAGCGTCCAGATAAATCAGACACCCGATATTTTTTAATTCGAAATATCTACTCAATCTATATTCATAGATTAATCTGACATTTTGAAAAGAAAATTGAGCGACAATTACACTTGATACAATCCGTTTAATACAGAAAGAATTAAATAGGTTTCACGCGAGTAACTTCGAGGGAACCATCCAATTCTAACAAAGAACAACTACACTTAATTCAAAATGATGAGAATACCATTGTCCTTATACATTAGTAGAATCGCTTGTAAGACTAAACAATGCTTACCTATTATATTTAATACTTTGATTCAATGCAAATTTTCAAAGCTCTATTTCTAGTTTCATTCTTTAATGTATAGTAATAATTTCCTGAAAACGGTATTGGTACAAGAAACGTTTTGTAGAATCTCATTTCACTTCATTTTAATTCATCAAGAATCGTGAACGACTTTCGGCAAAATTTCCTTTTAATAAGTGGGTGTCTAGAGAGATATCAACGCTACCCGCTATCGTTTCTTCTGAGCACTTTTTACGAGCTTGACTTATATCTTGGTGGTTAAAAGAACGCTTATCTTCCAGTATTAAAATATTTCATTAGTGACTCTGTTTAATTCACACTTTGGAAGAGCACACACTTGAATGGTTTTTGTTACCTTGCTCTGCTAAGGTATCTATTTAATACCACCCTGTTCTTCAACCTCTTCCACCTATCTTCAACCAATCTCCACTACGACAGTAGAATAGAACTAAAGAGGACGGAGTAGATATATGCAAAAAATTGAGGGATATGTGGTGCTACGTTGATTCGCAACAACGGGAGATTCAACTTGGATCGATCGATATAGGTGGAACTAGGTGTGGAAATGTTCATTCCTACCTCGAATTATTTATGATAAAGGGAAGATGAAAATTATCAGAAAAAAATAATCAGTTTCTGAACTATGAAGTCGCGGTATATTTAGGAAGTAAATATTATTGGTATATTTACTTCAAAATTCAGCATTAAAACCCTGTATTTTAATGTTTTTTGAAGATTTCCGAGTCCTATGACTATTCTTCGAATATCCAACTGACTTGAAATAGATTTGGTTTGAATTGGAGTGTGCCCGAAATGCGTTAAATACGAGAGTAATAGTAAATGGAAGCTTAATAAGCCAAAAATTAGAACATAGCACAATTGATCTCCAATCGAAGTCAACTCATCAGATTTTTTTCACGCAAATGGCAAATGAATAATGGCATTACTTTCAATATTCTACATCTAGAGAACTTCCGACGCTTTATATCTTAATCTTAAAATTTGACCCTCATTATGGTATATGATGTATCTAGAAAAATATTCGTCTTCATGTGG